TCCCCCCTCCTTCTCCATCCCAGTCCCCGCTCGCCCCGTCCCACGGAGGCCGCTTCTGAGAAGCCGTGGGAAAAGCAGCTTTAAAAATACCCGCAGCAAAGCCCTGAGCGTGTCAGGCGGAGGCTGCAGAGGAAGAGGTGGGCGTGAAGGAGACACTGCAGCTCTGGACACGGAGGTTACGGGGCGAGGGGGCGGGAGCTGTGCACGTGGGCAGGCGTGCAAACACACGTGTGTGCAAAGCACCTGAACGAGGGGCAGCGGCTCCATCCACCCCCCCTCCCCCTTTTAGCACAATGCTCTGCCCCCATCCCTCGGTCACCGCTGTCCCCACTCAGCCACAAAGCACCGCAGCCTGAACAGAGCGCACAGTAGCCGCCCGTGGGAACGGGGTCAGCACAGGGGGGGGGGACACCCATCACATCCCCCCCCCCTCTCGACTCGCTGTGCCCCACACCTCCCCCTGACATCAGCACAGCCCATCTGACTCACACCTGCTGGGAGCCCCAATGCCACGAGAAACCAAAGAGCCCCCACAACCCACACCGGGCGCTTCCCCACATCGCCCCATCACCCACATCATCACCCCTTCCAGCACCCCCCCCCCCCCCCCCCCCCCCCCCCCCCCCCCCCGCCCCCCCTCAAGGCAGGGCAGGGCAGTCGGTCCGGCTCTGGGGCTCCCAGCTCCTGCCCCCACGCCACGCTGCCAACCCCCCCCCGGCGAAACCGGGCCGCTCCAATGCAAACACGTCCCACCCAGCAGCGCCTGCTGCCGCCCACGGCCCCTGTCCCTCCCCACCACTGCGATGCAGGGCGGGCAGAGGGGCACAGCAGTGCTGTGTGTGATGGGAAGGGATGCAGCTCCTAACCCACCCTTCTCCTCACCCCCCCCAGGGGTCCCCTGGGGTCTCGCCACGTCCCCATGGCTGCCCTACGCCGGGCTGTGGGCCCGCAGGGATGGACGGGGTGAGCAGCTCTGGCTGCTTCTGAGAAACATGGATGAGTCACAGAACGCCGCATTCCCACCTCGCTCCGGCACACGGCCCTGCGTGACCCCAGCCCCCCCCCCCCCCCCCCCCCCCCCCCCCCCCCCCCCCCCCCCCCCCCCCCCCCCCCCCCCCCC